ATAGATGGCAATATATTGAACATAAGATTTCTATCCCGAAGAATGAATTTTTACAGGCGGTTGAATTTGTGATATCTTCAACATATTTCAAGTTCAACGATGTCATATATAAACAGACTCATGGTACTCCTATAGGATCTCCGCTTTCTCCCATAGTAGCAGACATTGTGTTACAGGATCTTGAGGAAAAAGCGTTAAATTCTCTTAATTTAAGTGACTCATTTTACTTTCGATATGTGGATGACATAATTATGTCGACACCTGGTGACAAGGTTGGCTTGATACAAGAGACTTTTAATAGTATACATGATAGGTTGCAGTTTACCGTTGAAGTTGAAACTAACCATAGAATAAGTTTTTTGGATTTATTGATCATTGTTGATGAAGGTGCGATTTCGATTGATTGGTTTCATAAAGAAACATATTCGGGTAGATATTTATCTTATTTCTCAAATCATCCATTATGTCATAAAAAAGGCACAATTTTTAGCTTGGTAGACAGAGCAATTTTATTGTCGAATTCTAAGTTTCACCAAAAAAATTTGGAAATGGTGATTAGGACTCTCCAAAATAATGGATATCCTTTAGAATTAATTTTTAAAACAATGAACGTGAGAATAAAAAAATTGAACAATTTATCTAATAATATTAATAATAAACAAGACAATATAAATAAAATGACAAAAGAAAAATTTTTTGTTCTTCCATTTATTCGAGGTGTCACGCAATCAGTCACGAAAATGATCAGTAAATCCGTTTATACCATCGGATATAAATGTATAAATAAACTAAATAAATTTATTAGAGTACATAAAGATAAAAAAAGTTTATATGATAACAATAATTTGGTTTATAAATTACACTGTAAAGACTGCGATGCATCATATGTGGGGCAAACGAAGAGAAGACTTAATACTAGAATAAATGAACATATGAAAAATAAAAACTTGGAGGCATGTAAACATTCGGTGGTGACGTTGCATTCAGTGCAATATAATCATAATGTTGAATGGAATCATGTCAAGATTTTAGACTCGGAATCGAATTACAATAAAAGACTGATTTCTGAAATGTTACATATAAAAGAACAATCAAACGGAATAAATTTAAAGAAAGACACTGAATCTTTAGATGACATATATGTTTGTTTATTGGATTCAATTTCTAAAAACAAATAGAGTGGGATATGTGTGTTTGACTTTCTGATAGACAAAAGACTTATTCGTAATATGGTTTTGTCGCAACCAACATGTATACGTACAGTTTATAATTTATAACATAAGTTTAAAAAGAAATTGACAAATTAACAATATTAAAATACATCGTACCACATAATTTGAGTGAGTGTTTTACGATATTAATTTGACTTGCTTCTAAGTATAACTAAGTTTTATATATTTTTACAACAGAGCATAATGTAAACCTTATAATACACACATCACACTACATGATAATAACTGAGAAGGAAACCGATTTTAATAATTGACGTAATAATGATCCACTCTCTTCGTTTGGGACACTGATATGACTGCCTGTTTTCGCTACCGACCGTAGAATGGGCTCTTTGATTTATAGAAGATGACATATGTAATTTTAGATGGTTAATTTTTTTGAGTATGTATGTAAGTGAAAATGCTTTTTGTTAATGACATCGAGGGATTTAATATGTATGTGTAATTGGATTAATGTATGTAATTTATAAGGGGTTTGTCAAAGATTATGTTGCGGCTGATGATGACTAAGTAAAGTCGAAACGTTCTGCGTAGAATTATTTTGTAAAGATTTAAAATTACAATTATTTAATACTAATTATTAGCTCGTTTTAAATAAATATTTGACCTGGTATGCTAATGTAAGAATTTATTTTATTATCATACGAGCGAAAGTTTAATTAATGAATAATTTAGAATTGTTCATTTTAATTATTATATGAAGGTCACCTCCACTTTTTTAAATGGAATTATGTAATTTTTTTTAGATAACGTGATTTTTCTAATTATTTTGGATATAAAAGTATTAAGGTAGACATACCAAAAAGCCAATAGTTTTCGAGATATTTTACACTTTATTTTGATACATATTGACAAAATGTTAAATAACTCGTAAACTGTTGACTTTTTGATTATCGTACCTTAATACTTTTGTGAACAGAATAATGAGATAAATCAAATGGTGTAAAGAAAATACATAGTTGCTTTAAAAAAAATATGTATACAAAATGGATAATTTTTTAAATACGCAACTATGTGTTTTTTTTATACCACTTGATTTATCTCATTATTCTGTTCACAAAAGTATTAAGGTACGATAATCAAAAAGTCAACAGTTTACGAGTTATTTAACATTTTGTGTCAATATGTATCAAAATAAAGTGTAAAATATCTCGAAAACTATTGGTTTTTTGGTATGCCTACCTTAATACTTTTATATGCAAAATAATTAGAGAAATCACGTTATCTAAAAAAAATTACATAATTCCATTTAAAAAAGTGGAGGTGACCTTCATATCTTTTTAGCGCCTCCACTTAGAAAAAAAACAACGTGACTAAAACGTGTCCCCCTCGATACCGTTCCATTTTTATTTGAAACATTTTTGTCTACAGGATTTAGTTTTCGAGAAATTCAGGTGGGGAGATTAAAATGGCTCACCCTGTATATGCAACAAAAGGATATACATTTATGAATGTTCACTTTAAACTGGCACCTTTAATAATATATCAGTTACTTTCTCCATGATAATATATTTCATTACTATTTAATTATTTAAAGTTTTAAAGATTTCAATACTAAAACCAACTAATTTTGAAACCTGTATCAAATAAATTTTATCTTTATTATTAAAAAAGGCTTAATTTTTTGGGCTGTATTTTATTTTCAGATTTATTGAAGGGAAAGTCCTGAAAAGAAAAGACAAGGTTCTTTTAAATCGATATCTTTTTTCTTTTCACACTTTTCCTATCAACAAAGCACAAAGAATCAACTTTTTCATAATTATATAAAGAATAGAGAATTAATGTTGTAAAACTTGGTAAATATTTCGAATTACACAGTCAGCCTCAAATAACTTCCGAGTGACCTTGACCTTGACCTTGACCCTCAAGAAGGTCAAGGTCATTGACCATTCCCGTCGCTCGTCCTTCGTTAAAAAGTTATTAACAATCATAGTTTCAAAATAAAAGCATTATTTCTGCTATATATGCATGATATGAAGTATTATTCTACACCTTTCCCTGTTCAGAAACGTTGAACTTTCCACGTGAAGTAACTTTTACCCCCACCCCTCTGCACAGGGGCACACGACTTCTACGATTATACTGTTACTATGATAGTACTGTCGGGGCAGACCTCTGTCGACGGTGTGGGTGCGGGTGCGTGTGTGTGTGTGTGTGTGTAAAATATCAAGTAATAGACAAGTAATATCAAGTGACAGTAAAATATCAAGTAATCGTTATATAACGAATGGAAAACACACACACACACGCGCGCGGGCGGGTGCAAGGGGGCCTTCGGCCACCCCCCCGCACCCACACCGTCTCAGAGGTCTACCCCGACAGTACTATCATAGCAACAGTACAATCATAGAAGTCGTGTGCCCCTATGCAGGGGGAGGTAAAAGTTACTTTACAAATAAAATAGGTGCACAGGGGGGAGAGGGATGAGAGTTGAGCGATTTTAATGAGAGATTACCGTAATTTTTTCGATTAATGGTTTCTCTATATTCATTAAATAATTAATGTATCGTCAAGTAATGAATAAAATGAGTAAAAATGTACATTGAATAAAATTAGTAAATATTAGCAGCAATGGAAGCTCTTATAAACATTTTAATACCATTATCCACGTAAATAGTACGCAGAATATACGCAGAAATAGTACGTTATTTTTAAATCTTTTTTGGTTAATAACTTTTTAACGAAGGACGAGCGACGGGAATGGTCAATGACGACCTTCTTGAGGGTCAAGGTCAAGGTCAAGGTCACTCGGAAGTGACTTTGAGGCTGACTGTGTAATTCGAAATATTTATCTAAAACTTATTTGATTGATTGAAATAAACTTCCAGATCTGGAGTCACGGTAGTATCTCGGTAAATAAGTAACCTAACCAAATGCTGTAAAAACAAAATTATATAGAAAGTAATTTGTATTCTTACAGCAGAATGTGTTTTATAGCAGAAAATTTGTGTAATAAAGCAGAAAATATTTATTTATTCTAACCTCACTTACGTGTTCGTCTAGCCATCGATGTGACAGGTTTCCTAACCTCAATCCTTTGTTATAGCCGAAACTTTTAATCCGACTTTAACGATCGTACGGATCGCAGCGATCGATATTTATTCTTAACTCACTTACGTGTTCGTTTATGCCATCGATGTGACAGATTTCCTAACTTCAATCATTTGTTATTGCCGTGACTCTTAATCCGACTTTGACGATCGTAGCGGTCGATATTATAGATTTATAGATACCCGTTGCGACCACATTTATCTCTTGCGCCAAAAATTCCAGAATGTATTTCCTCACTTCGTAGCTGGCAACAATGACGATGACGACGACGACGACGTTTCTTACAAACAAACAAACATCTAGATACCCATTTCCTCGACGACGAACACCTAGACACTCACTTTCTCGAAGGCGAACACTTAAACACTCACTTCCTAGAAGGCGAACACGTAGACACCTACTTCCTGGACAGCAAACACCTAGACACCCATATCCTCGTCGGCGAATACCTAGACACTCACTTCCTCGAAGGCGAACACCTAGATACTCATTTCCTCGACGTCGAACACGTAGACATCTATTTCATCGACAGCGAACACCTAGACACTCACTTCCTCGAAGGTGAACACCTAGACACCCACTTCCTCGAAATCAAACACTTACTTCCTCGAAGACGAACATATAGACAACATCTAGACACTTAATTCCTCGAAATACGTTGCTTGACGGAGAACGTAAGGAGGGAGTGACTGCCGGTGCGAGCGAGTCAGCTTAAAAATGGTGGGACTCGAAGTACCAATAGTACAAATTAACTTGCATCACAGCAAAAGCGCTTCAGCGATTCTAGCCAGGAGCATAGCTGGGATGCAGACAGTAATAGCAATAATTCAGGTGCTTTGGCTCCTGAATAACGCTATAAAAAGACTGAGTGGCTGTGGAACCATCTATAAAGCAGACACTCAGGACAAAATTAGGACCTGCATTGCAATTAAGGGACTAAATGCTATTTTTATGTCACAGCTCAGCGATGGCGACACCACCGTTATACGGACAAGGTTGGACCACGGCGAAGACAGACACTTGGACATACTCATAGGGTCAGCTTACATGCCCTATGACTCTCAAGAAGAACCACCACCAAAAGGGGTAAGAGATCTGGTGTCCTACGCGAAGGAGAGGGGACTTGAACTCCTATCGGGCTGCGGTGCAAACTCACACCACATAGAGTGGGGGAGTTCGACTATAAACCCGAGGGGAGAAAGCCTCCAATTCATTATGGACATCAGCTTAATGATCCTAAACAGAGGAACGGTACCCACCTTCATGGACTGCAGAAGACAAGAAGTATTAGATATCACCATCAGTATTGGGAGAGTGGCGGACCTGGCGCGGGACTGGAGGGTCTCTGGAGAGCGCTCTGGTTCTAACCATAAGCAGATTTGCTACAATCTCCTGCATATGGTGAAAAAAGAATGGGATTGAAACCAAAGGTCTACAAAATGGGAAGACTATAGGATGGACCTGGAGGCCATCCTGATGAAAGCCCCAAACAGATTTGACCCAGAAGAGAATCTTGAGTACGCGGCGCAGTATGTAAGTGACGCAATAAGAGAGGCCTATAAGGGAAATTACCCGGAGAGACCGAAATACCCTACAATCAAAACTCCCTGGTGGAGCAAGGAGCTTTCGTAGCACAGGTTGGAGGTAAGAAGACTCTTCAACAAAGTAAGGAGGAAAAACTCAACAGCCGATTGGGATGCGTATAGAAACGCCCAACGTGGCTACAGCAAAGCAATAATCATTGCTAAAAGGAAAAGCTGGAGGGATTTTTGTAAAAGCATTGAGAGCGCTTCAGAAACATCCAGGCTAAACAGAATCCTCAACAATGACAACATCCTACGATTGGGTTGTCTTAAACTCCCAAACGGAAACTATACCGAGACAGTAGAGGAAAGTTTAAAACACCTCGTGTCTACACACTTCCTAGGGTTCCAGGAAGGATAATGTGAATCTCAACAGGAAACCAAGAAACCCGAGGAAAAACATAAATTGAGAGAATGGACACTGGCAGCCAAGGTGGTGACTCCTGAAGGAGTTGAATGGACTATCAAGACCATCGAACCATACAAGACTCCGGGACCAGACGGCATCTATGATCCTGTACTACTCAGGGAGGGTAGGAGGGTTCTAGTAGGCCCCCTGACGAGTGCTTAGGGCTAGCATAGCACTGAGACACGTTCCGAAAGCCTAGAGTGATACCAGAGTGGTATTTATACCAAAACCAGGTAAAAATGGCTATGTGATGGCCAAGGACTACAGACCTATCAGCTTCACATCCTTCATCTTAAAGATGTTGGACGGGCTCATTGATAGGCATCTCAAAGACTATTGCCTTATTGCAAAGCCGCTGAACCCATACCAGTACACCTATAGGGAGGACAGATCTACGGACACTGCCCTGCATCACCTTATGAGCGAGGTTGAAGTTCAGATGGCTGCAAAAGGATATGCAATAGACGTCTTCATCAACATTGAAGGGGCTTTTGATAGCACCTCAAATAGGTCGATTAAAGACGCCATGCACAGATTTAACACTCCAGAAACACTGATTGACTGGATACAAAACATGTTGAACGGCAGAAGACTGACCGTCAATCATGGCAACAGCTCAGTTGAGAGGAGGCCGACAGCGGGCTGCCCGCAGGGGGGGTGCTCTCACCCTTGCTGTGGTGCCTGATGGTGGATGAACTCCTCACAAAACTGAAGAAATCAGGCTTCGAAATCTACGGATATGCGGAAGACGTGGCCATTATCATCAGAGGTAATTTCCTCTCGACACTCAAGGAACGGATGGACGAAGCCTTGGAAATTGTACACAACTGGTGTAGGACGAGGGGACTGATGGTAAACTCCACTAAGACCTCGGCCATGATCTTCACCAGAAAATATAAACCGGAGCCATTGAGACACTAAGGCTCTGGGGCAAGGAAATAGATTATGTAAATTCAGTAAAATATCTAGGGGTCCTATTAACCCCAAATTGAGCTGGAAACCACACCTCGAGGAAAAGAGGAAGAAATTCTACACCTCTATGTGGGCTTGTAGAAGAGCCATGGGAAAGAAAATGGGATTAAACCTCAGGGCAGCCTTATGTCTATACAAGATGGTATTGTTACCAAGGCTCACGTATGCAGCAGTGGTCTGGTGGTCAAGGGCGGAAAAGGTGGAGGCAAGGAACCTGCTCAAAAGCCTACAAGGAGGATACCTAAGGGCTGCAACAGGGGCTATGAAACTACATCAACTGAGGCGCTACAAGTAGCATTCAGTATTCCTCCCCTAAACCAGGTGATCAAATACACAGTTAGGCAAACAGCATACGGATTAAGATGTCAGGGTGAATGGAAGGAAACCGGGACTGGACACACAAGGCTGAGACTTTCTGGTAAACACCCTTTTAATCTAAGACAAGACAGAGTCCCCAGAAGACACCAGTTGGTGAAGACATTTAAAGTTCAAATACCGTCTAGAGAAGACTGGAGCAAACCTAACTACAAAACCAATCCAGAAGTAGACACTTGGTTCACGGATGGATCGAAAGCAAACAGTCGATATGGGGAAGATATATATGGGCCCAATATTAACCATGAGGTAAGCATACTAATGGGTGAGCTGCCCACAGTGTTTCAAGCTGAAGTGCTGCACGGAAAAAAAAGATTTGCTAAATCAACTAAGAACTTAGCTGATTTAGCAAATCTGTAGCCGTAATATAGGCACAGCCAGTTTTCTATGTTAAAGTAGCAAGTTGTATAGCTGAATTAAATTAGCGATTGTAACTTGTTATATTCTTTCTAATAGCAAAGCAAATTTGTTAATATAGCAAAGGTAACTTTCTGCAAAAATGAATTTAGTATAAAGGTTAAAATTTGTAATAAGACATGCTAGCTAAGATAGCGTATACTTTTGCTGCTATAATGAAGAAACTTGTTACATTAGCAATCTTCATTGTAGCAAAGAATTAGTTGCTCTAACAATTTAAGTTAATTAAAACAACAAATTCTGATAAATGGTTTTTATTGAAAAATTGATAGAATACAATTTATAATATATTAAGATCTTCATACCACGCAGAATGCAGGTCGCAAGATTAAAACCTAACCTAACCTAATTATAGTATTTTAGATTGTATATGTGCAATCTAAAATACCATAATTATGTTAAGTTAGGTTTTAATTTTGCGACTTGCGGCCCGCATTCTGCATGCTATGTCGCGACGCCACGATTCGTTTCGGTTATCACAAATATTATTAACGTTAAATTAAATTAATATGCGCTCAAATATATTTCCAAATTAAACTTAATATACCTCCCAGGTCAAGAACAAATTGAGCTATACTATTTGTTAGAAATATATATAAATTTATTATAATAATGACACCGGTATATACGGAAAGTTTCGACTCCACAGAGTCCTCAACAGCCGCAATCGAATTCTTAAAAATTAATTTAGTATATTGCGAAGAATATCACAAGTTGGCGTTTCGTCCCGGCTTCCACTACTGGACTCATCAGTAAGGTAACGTAGTGGAAGCCTACCTTAGACGCCGGTGTAAGTTATTAAATCGAGATTCTATATAAAGCGATATGAGTCCAGTCTCTCTCTCTCTCTCTCTCTCTCTCTCTCTCTCTCTCTCTCTCTCT